TGTCCAATGGATTGATTCTTCTGCTAATCTAATTTGCCAAAATCCTGATTTACAATCAAACTTACTAAAATATTTACTTTCTTGAATTTTATTCATAAGCTCATCTTTATTTGGTAATTTATAACTATCTTCATAAGTATTATCATTTAATCTCCTATAATTATACACTATTCTAGCTTTACCTCTCTTAAGTTCTGAATGTTTTCTAACTACAAAGGCTGCTGATCTATGTCTAGATTTTGAAGGTCTAATTACTTTTAAGTTTAAAAGTTCTTTCATTTGTTGTTCAAATTCTTGCTTATCTAACAAATTACAAGGCATATCTGCTGTTTTAATTGTTAAGTCTGGATTGATAATGTCTAATTTTGCTAATATCTTATTCTTATTCCAATGTAATTGGGGATCTTCTCCTATAATTCTAGTTTGTTCAGCTAATTGTAACAGTTCTTCTAAATTTTTTGGTCTATCTATTTGCATAATTTCTAGAGGTTCTATGTTTCCTATAAGTGGATACTTATGATCAAATATTATATTATCATATTCTAGATTATTTTGTTCATCTATTTTTTCTTTACTTACTTCTTCTAATTCTTCCATGTTATATTTAAAATTTTGTTCTTCTATGTTAATACTATTGTAAGACTCTAATATATTACTTTAATCTGTTGTGGTTATACCCTTCTTAAAAAATGTAATGTCTGGAGGTGTATATAAAAATCCTTCTTGTAAACTTTTTAAGAAATTTAATCCTAAGATGAAGGGATATGATCCTACTGGGGATATAAAGGTTAAGGGTAAATTAAACTGCTGTCTTTCTATCCTAATTGGTATATTATTAATACAATGTGTTAAGTATACAGGTCTTGTGTCAAACTGTATGATCCTTACTGGTCTAGCTAATTTCTGCCTAAATTGTTCTGGCACTAGTTCTTCTTTTGTTACATTTTTTGTGCTTCCTGTATCTATCATGGCTGTTGTTTGAATTTTATTTTCTTTTGACAATTCTAACTCACAATTAATTGTTATTAATGAACTAGTCTTTTGTTTCTCTATACTTGGGCAATTATTCTTTTGATTATCTATTTCAACTGTATTTATTTCTATTGAATTTATTATTGAAACAAGGTCTACAATAAACTATTGTCTTAGTGTAATATTTTTCTACTATTATTTTCTTACATTGATTACATTCTTGAGGCCATCCTAAATTAACATATTTAAATTCTTCATGCTCTGTTTGTTCTTCAAACATACACGTATGTTCATCTAATTCACTATCGGAATTACGAGAGTAATCTAATTCTGATTATGAGTCTAAGGCATTAACACTATAAATACTTTCATTATCACTTAAATTATCATCTATACTATAGGTCTAATATGTCCTACTTCACCACAAAGATAACACTTACATGTACTTTTATTAGGTACTTTATACTTTCTAATCCATGGTTTATTTGTTCTTTTCCTAAATTGCTTAGGGATATATTTTCTTCTTCTAAAAGTTTTGGAAGGTTGTATTCTAAAATTTTTATTTTGTTGTTTATAAGGTTTGTATTTTATATAGCTTTTTCTATATGACTTCTTCTGCCTAAATTTTCTATGACATCCATATTGTTTAGGTAAATCTATGTTTTTACAACTCATGTAAAACTGTTTTCTAATTTGTCTTTTTGCTTTTATTTGACTACATTCTGATCGTAATATATCATATACATGTTGTATTCTTGCACCTATGGATACATCTAGTTTCCTAGGGTGTTTCTGCCATTCATTCCAAATTCTTTCTCCTATTGCTCCTTTAATTTTTGTCATATAAGTATCTAACAGATTAAGATCATCAATTCTACA